CACCATCAACCTTAGCTTACTTTTTTTTGTCATTTTTAATCTTTTTACATCTTATATCTTCATCTTCATATCTCTTATTCGACAGAGATACAAAGTGCAACAAACCAATCGGAATGTTCATCTTCATATTCCATGGTGGAATGTTCATCTTCATAGATCTAGTCGCTTTTCACCGATGATCGTGCCTCCATCGCCAGAATCATCACCACCACTTCGCTTTGTAGCCACCATACCATCTCGCCACCTCGCATACCACCTCGTCTCTTTCCCCACTGCGCTGTCAACGCCACTACTGCAGTTGCAAGTCTTTCGCCGTCCATGCCACCCTTTGACTGTATCGCCACCCTTTGACCAATCTGATACGACAATATTCGTGTCGGAAGAGAATTGGTTCAGGACGCGTATCAGATACGTTGAATTTTTTTATTTTTACGTATCAGTGCTTCATAGATTAGAGTAACAGTAGCAGTTACTACACTAGTTCTGCAAAGGAGTGCAAAGCCTATACTCACATATCTTAGCTATAGCTAGTAGCATCTTGTATTAGAGCATCAGTCAGTGTATCAGCAGCACTAGTGCTGCTATGCTCAGAGTAACATTAGTTACTCCAGCTGTTATGTGACTGTTAGTTGGTTAGGATGAGTAGGGATTCGGTTGCTTAGTTGCAACAACTCTCAGATATATTGTTAGGCTGTTAGCTTCAGTTATCTTTTATTATTCTGTTTCTATAGCAAGTCTTGTAGTTCTGTAAATATCCCTATATGAGAGAGATCAGTTTTTCAGTATCATCATAAATATATAGTTCAAATTCTCTGTTCTCTCTTTCATTTCTTTCAATTTTTCTCACTTTCTCTCTGATTATATTATCCCTTGAAACAAGTATTTATAGTAATAGACATTGAGAAATCTTTCTACCAGCCATAAAGAGCACGAAGACAAAATTCCTAAATCTAAAGAAAATTAAATCAAATAACAAATAAACAGAATATAATTAAGAGATCAGATATTGAACATACCATGACAGCTGAGACATGGTATGTTCAATATCTGAACAGAATCTTAACTAATATTTATTTTTTTCTCTCTTCTTGAAATTCTGATCTAATGGTTTTAGAGAGTGGTAGTCAAAGGTAGGCAGAAAAATGGTAGGTAGAATAACCTATCTCATATAAGTATATGAGACTTTTTTTCTCTTCTTTTAACATGAACCCCACATATTTTTATGTATGTGTAAAAGATAAAATTATCTCATATAACTTGAGAAACATTAATCAGATACTTTATAATTTATACACAATTCCAACCCATAACTATATTGTTGAGTCTCGTACGTCAACACATCATAAAAATACATTTAATACAATAATATTTTAACATAAGTTGTAGTTTTAGATATGGGATTAATTTTTTTCCTGTAATCCCAAAGAAATATCATTTTAGTGTTGAAGATTAAAAATAAAGGATATTATAGTAACATTTATGATAAAAAGTGGAATGTGAAATTTTTAAAATAACTTCTATTTTTAATCCTAAACACTAAAATGATGTGATTTTGGAATTACAGAAGATAATTTTATCTCCTTTGACAGGATAAACACTTTTCCTTTTAGACATAGGGCTTTATTACTCAAGTTCATTTTTTCTACAGTAAATGCAAATAAATTATCTTCATTGAGTCCAAAATGTAGACGTTTTGGAACAAAAATCAAGGTGTTTTGCAATTATAATGTATTCCAAGATTATAGTCTTTATCATTATAATTTTTAAATCTTTCAACCCAAAATGACTTCGTAATTGCTAGATAATTTGTTTGTATTCACTGTAGAAACACCAAAACCTTATCTATTATATACTTAAAGGAGAACCAAATAAACCACCTTTATGTTCACACTGAGTGTAACACCCCGTGTATACCCAGTTTGTTTTCATATTATAGTATTAAGCGCAGCTCAAATAAATGCGGAAGCAAACTTTTTCTTTCCAATTATGACGTCATTAATATTAACCAAGTTGATTATTTAATCCTTTTTCAAAACAATGCCTGTATGTAAATTGCAATAAAAGCTAACTGAATAACCTCATTACATAAGTGTGTATCTAGTCACGGAACTACAACACGTAGACCGGACAAAATCCTGATACATTATACAACTCGAGTCTAAATAAACAAAGCATAATCAGTGTAGCATAGACGACCCCATGCTCACCAAATAAGGCAACAAGGCCCAACAAAGTCTCAGCTCAGATAACAATATAATGACAATAAACATAATTTCATCCAGGCATAATAGTATAATCAGCATGCATATCAACTCAGCTCTGGCCTCCTGCCGCCAGAGGTATCAACCCCTGAAGTACCTGAACCTGAAAATGTGCCTCAAACGTGGGGTGAGATCTCTAAAAAGAAATCTCATTAAGACAAGGGGTCCTCCAAGACTCTTCCGCCCCAAGCTCACTTACAAGTATAATATAAGTTCGAAAATAGTAATTTCAATGCATGTTCATGTGAGGCATTCAAATCATGACAACATATCTCTTGCTCGACGAGCCAAGTACTACAACTCATAAATCATGTGATGTATGCAAATGCGGTTCGACTGGACAGGGAACAAGATAGGAATTATGCACGTCTGCGACCTATCTAAACATAAGGGTCGCAGCCTTATGCCTTACACACCAGGGTCGCAGCCTGATAGTGTAAGTAATCAACATCACGTTCATACATTACATCACCAGTTATATCAACATATCTCAGGTATATATCAATGCATATATCATTTCTCAAGAAAACATAGATGCATATAAACCACCTTCCCATGGAGGTCGGTGGAACAAGCAACAGATCAATCCGAGGACCAGAAGCTTACCTCGCAAGCTAAACCCTCCCTCACGACTCGGTGTCCAAAGGGTTACAAGCAATAATAGTGTCCAGCAAGGTCACAGATTTGTTTTCATAACATTTATACTATAAATAATCATATCATAGCTTTTCAGATTTAAAACGAACATTATTTCTTTTTCGTTTCGCTTACTGCGGGCTCTTTCCGAAGCCACAAGCACTAAACTATCTTTACCATTTTCAAGACTGCAATTTCATCTCTTTATGAAATATTTTAAGATTTTACTATGTTAAACTAAACATCTTAAGGTATCCAACGATATACTTTATGTCTCAATCGGAATTGTATAACTCCGATTATGTTTTTCGCAAAGTGACTGCTGCAAACTGAATTTCCAACAACCAAGTCGCGACTTCAAACTAATACTAAGACCAATAAACTTATCCAATGACTATGAAATTTTACATTATTGTATCCCTGTGTGTTAGCTTTACATAGGTCCAAACTTCACTCAATTTGGAGCTCTGTAGCTTGAGATATCGCAATTTTACTAAACTAGGTCGTTGCTGTCACATTTGCTGTCACCTTTGAATGGTAATCAATTACCACTCAAAGGTAATCGATTACCACCTGTGCAGAAACGCAAAAATGCATATTTTTCTGCATAATTCGAGACCCCAAAGCTTCCCCAAGCTCCCAAGTCCGGTTTTTCATCAAAACAGATGTTCAACACTACTTATTATACATGGATTAACCACTTTTAACTTGAAATCATTAAAGTTCCCTCTTGTAGTGACTTAAACAAGCTAAAATCATGGATTTCAAGAGGAATGATCATGGAATACCTATGGGGGCTCAAACACAGCAGAACAATGTGCTCTTGGAGCTCTTAAATCTATCCCAAGAAGTCAAATTACACAAGCCACGAATTGGTGACCAAAGCTTGGTCCTTTCTCTACCAAAATGGGACCTTGAAGCTTCAAATGCCAAGTAAATGGCCTTCTCCCCAAGAACTCAGAACACAACCCTCACACACTCAAGAAAAGAGGCTACCAACTCAGAAATGCCAAGACTTTCACTATCCCAAGGCTAGAGCACACTCATACAAGGAATTTGTGTGAAGAAGGCAAGAGAAAAGGTGGTCTTTTGGAGCTTCTATGGAGGGAAAAAGGTGGAGGAAGGTTGCTGCCACCCAAGAACTCAGAAATGTCATGTAGGAGGAGGAAAATTTCTGACCTAGGGCCTTGTGCCCATTTATTTATATGTGTATTAAGTTTTAAGCCCACTGTATTAAGACTAATAGCTACGCTTATCATTTTAATCTCAAACTTCATATTCTGAACCTAGCTATTTTTCTAAGATTGTCATATTTTTATTTTATTTTTCGCAGCACTTTGCCGGTAGGAACTTTTACGTAGCCGGTATCAACCCTAACGCCAGTTCTCATTATTTCGACTCCAAACTTGACATATCAGTCCTAGATATTATTCTAGTGATATATACATACTTTTTATTATTTTTTGGGATACTTCATCGGTACGCATTTATACCGTAAGCAGAACCGGTATCTGCACTTTTCGTCAGAAAAATGACTTTCAACATTTTTAATCACTTACTATAATTATTTAAGCTCTCTCATAATTATTCAAGGTCATTTATGGAATTTATCTCTTAACTTATACTTAAATTAATTAAATTCTTAATTTAACGGTACGGGTTCTTACACTGTGCATTCACACTTGCATCCCTCAAAAAAGCTGATGTGTCAAGCTCTCATGCAGTTTCAGCTTTGTGTTCACATTGTGTGTTCACACTGTGTTCACACTTGCATGTCAATTTAAAAAAAATACATAATAATAAGTTTTTAATTAAATCAAAATTGATGGGAGGCATCTAATTAATGACCCACTATCATTTTTACATTGGAACCTGTAAGGTTTTTAATTGTTGTATTGGAAGATAAAAGGTTGTTTACTAATGTTATTTGAAAATGGAAAACTCATCATCTGATATTTTCACATAACCGTGAAATCATTCAAACGCTTCTTCCTTCTAGCTCTTGCATATTTTCATCTCTAGCTTCTGCGATTTTTGTTCTCACTGTTTTTGTTTGACTATTTGTTTGTTGTAGCTATTTTCTTTGGTTGCATATAATCTTTCATGATGTTCTCCAAGTATGATTTTATAAAGGATATTAAACCTATCAACGAGGATTGGAGGATTAAAGTTAGGGTGATTAGGTGTTGGAAGGTTCCCAATTTTTACCGGAAGGATTTTGATGATAATGTGGACATGATTCTGATGGATGAACAGGTAATGGTTCCGCTGATTATTGTCGTGCGATTTTTTTGGTGTCTTTTGTTCTTTTTTCCATTGATATATTAATGTATCTCATTTGAAGGTTGGAAAAATACATGCCACGGTTAAAGGTTCTTTACAGGTCCGAAAAAAAATTCAAGAAAGAGATGTTTATTTCGTGAAATTTTTTGGAGTTGGATTGAACGGTGATATTTTCAGGCCAAATAGGCATGATTATCGTCTGTCTTTCAACTTGAGAACTAATGTGAAATCCACGTTTGATGCTTCTATTCCTGTCAACGGTTTTGATTTTGTTGATTTTGACGTTATTGAGAAGGAAGCATCGAACTCTCCTTATTTAGTAGGTAATATATTTTGTCTGTGATATAAGTATATTCTTATTGTGTCCTCATGTTTTAATAGTTCCTACTTATTAATTGTTCCGTAGACGTCGTCGGTTTACTCACAGGAGTTGGGGATGTTGTTGAGCATGTTGTCTCCGGTAGGAAGACCAAAATGATTGTGTTAGAACTTGACAACCTCAGGTAATAATGTTATCTGTGTGTAATGTTAATGTTATATGTGTATAATGAATATTCATATTTTGTTATGTGTAATCTTTTAATATCGGATTACTTCATGTAACCTCTTCGAAATATGAGGCACAAACTGGAGTGTACTTTATGGGAGCAGTTTGTGGACGAAGTGAAAAATTTCTTGGCTAATAATCAGTCTCCTCATAATGTGATAATAGTCCAGCTTGCAAAGATACATGTGCATCTCCCTTTCTTAATTTTTTTTTTGTAAAGGTAAAATTGGAATAACAAATACCAAATATACAATAAAGATTTTCTTTGACCCCAATGTGCCAGCTGTTGTAGAGTTAAAAAAAAAGGTGCGATTTGCTATTCGAGCTGATGTAGTTTAGGACATTCTTCTGTGATGTGTCTGAGGTATTATCATATAATAGATTATTATATGAATTGACATGTTTTCTCTATTATTTTATGTTCAGGATTTCGTCTGATCCGATAGACAGTAATATGAAGTTGCCTCAATTGTCCTGCCAATCGTCATATTCTTTTGAAAATAATTTTCTAAAAGACACTAAACGAAGATGTATAAGTGATATTAAGAATTGTTGGTGGTAGAGAACTCATTTAATATCCCACTACTTTCTACATTGAAATTTTCAAATTAATAATATCTCACTCCTTTATGAAATCTTGATTTTAAATCTTTCCTCCTTTAGTAAATTTGCACAATTTGAAATTTAAACTTCATTAGGTGGGAAATGAGTTCAACATTAATTGTTAGTAAACATTTGTATTAATATCCCACTACTTTTTTAAAATTTGAATTTTAATCTTGATATAGGTGGGAAATTTCGAATTTTAAACTTGATATAGGTAGAAAAAGAGTTTAACAATTTTTTGTGGTAGACAATGGTAATAATATCGCACTACTTTTTTAAAAATCGAATTTCAAACTTGATAGAGGTGGGGAAATGCTCCTACATTTTTTGATAGTAGACAGCTGTATTAATATCTCACTACTTTTTACATGGATAATTGTTAGTCCTATTAATGATGCATGAAAAAACCAAACAATAAAAAAATAAATTTTTTTGTAAAAAAACAAAATTATTTCGTTTATAAATAGAAAATGTGGTGCTGAGTCTTTTCATTTGGTAATCAGCTTCTGTGCACATATTTTTCTCTTCTTTATCCGTTTGTCTTCTTCATCTTCTCAAGGTGTTCTTCTATTAGATGAACATATTTAAATATATATATATATATATATATATATATATATATATATACATACATATTTTTTAATTAAGATTTTGTTTAAATAATAAAATATTATATTATATTAAATGCAATTCAATTCAATTCACCAAACATTCGATTTAGTAGAATACTTTTCTTATCAACTCATATTTGTTCATTATATTTGTGTTACAACGAAAATAAAAGAATTTAAACAAAAAATAAGAAATGACATTTATCATTCTATAAAAAATAAAATAAAATTTAATCACTATAAAAATACAAGTTTTAATTTAATATATAAAAAAGAAATTAAACTTTCATTCTTCTGATGTAATAGTAAAAAAGACACAATTTTCTATGTCGTAAATGAAAACTAGAAATTATTATTTGGAGAATGTGTGCATCTTTCTATGCATATTTTCCACTACTGTATGGAAAATTATTAAACATATTAATAATATTAATTATTATGTCTATTGGGTGGAAGATTATTTAATATTTAAAATTCAAATTTTTTAAATATGAATTTTGAACTTTATAAGTGAAAAAAGAGTTCAGTATTTAATGTTTCTGTAATGGGAAAAGATATATATATATATATATATATATATATATATATATATATACATATATATGAAAAATATTTCTCTAGTCACTGGAGATAAAGTTATATCCAGCGAGCTCAAAACGATGTCATTTTGGGTTATAAGATTAAAAAATTATAATGATAAATGTAAGAACCCGCACCGTTAATTTAGGAATTTAATTATGAGATTAATGAGATAATTCCATAATTGACCCTAATAAGTATGAGAAGGCTTAAATAATTACGATAAGTGATTAATAATGTGAAAAGTCACTTTTCTAACGAAAAGTGCAGATACCGATTCTGCCTCACGGTATAAATGCGTACCGATGAAGTATCCCGGAAAATTACGAAAAGTGTGTATATATTACTAGAATAATATATAGGACTAGTATAACATGTTTGAAGTCAAAATAACGAGAACTTGTGTCAGAACTGATACAAGCTTCGTAAAAGCGCGTACCGGCAAAGTGCTGCGATAAATAAAATAAAAATACGATAAATCCTAGAAAAATGGCTAGGTTCAAAGTCAAAAGTTTGGGATTAAAATTATAAGCGTAACTATTAGTGCTAATACAATGTGATTAGACTTAATAGACTATAAATAACATTTGGCACAAAGACCTAAGTTAATTCTTATTGTTTCCTACGTGAGTTTATGGAGGTTCAACTGCTGCCTCCTTTCTTCTTCACCATCTCATAGCTTTCTTCCTCCTTGAACCCTCCAAGTGATCATCTTTATGCATACTTCCTTCACCAAAATAGCTTAGGTGTGTGAGACCAAGCCTTGTGAGGGTGTGAGGCCACTCATTACTGAGTTTAGGCTTCTGAGTTGAGGGGTTTGGTGGCTGTGTATGGGAGTTTTCATTGGGGAAGCCATGTTCATGTCCTTGGTGGTGTCAAGAAGCTATTTTGAGTGGTAAAGGACCAAGCTTGAGGTGTATTTTTGCAGTCCTTCAAGGTCAGAACCTTTGAGCATTGTTGGAAGCTCCAAGGCTGTGTCTTTTTCTGAGTTTGAGTCTCTTGAGGTATACCATGATCACCTCTTTGGCATTTTCATGATTTCAGCTTGTTTAATTCATTAAAAAGTGAAACTTGAACCATTTGAGCTAAAGGCTGGTAATCTAAGTCTAAAACATGTTAATGAACATCTGTTTATGGAGTTATTGGACTCTAAATCGAGTTTGGACATTTAAAATGGGACTTATGCAGAGAATGCACAAATTTTTGCATTCTGTCTGATAAGTATTCGAATACTTATCAAGGGTAATTGAATACTCCTTGAAATAGTGTTGAGATACTTTTCTGGGAAGAAAAGTATTCAGATACCTGTGAAGAAGTATTCGAATACTGAAGGTAATGTATTCAAATACCTTGTGGTATTCGGATACTGAGTGAAAGTATGCGAATACCTTGTGGTATTCGGATACTTAAGTGAAAGTATTCAGATCGTTTCTGGAGACATGGAGTATTCGAATACTCATCAAGGATTATTCGAATACCTCCTGCAGATTTAGTCTTAAATCACTTTAAATGAGTTGGAAAACCTTAATAACTTTATGGAACCTTGGGTAATGATTATTGATGATTAATTATTGTATAAACAGACTGTGATTGTGTTGTTTGGTGACATTGAGCTTGTGTGGACTTGGCTTGGATTGATTGCTGAAGAGGTAAGCTTTTGTGTCCTCGGTTTAGCCATTGTTGGTTCCACCATACCCCATGGAGGGATGATTTATATGCATGAATTGTTTTCATGTATTGTTTTTGAAATGTTGTTGAGCTGTTATGCGCAAGTGCCTTATAATATGCATGTGTTGTTCCACCTAGACGGTAAGCTTGTGCATGTAGGAGACATACTATAGGGTGATTCTGTGGGTGGGTGTAAGTAGTGACTTGCACTGATTGTAGGTAATAGACGTATGTAAATCCTGCATTTCTCTGGCCAGTAGAATAGTTGACATACATGACATGATTATTCTGTTGCATTGCACTGATTTTGGAACTTATATTATATACTACTTTTGAACTTATATTGCACATGTAACTGAGCTTGGGGTGGAGAAATCCTTGAGGACCCCTTGCCTTACTGAGATTTCTGTTTAGAGATCTCACCCCACGTTTGGGGCACATATTTCAGGTTTAGGTAACTCGGGGGTTGAGACCTCGGGCGGCAAGAGGCCGGAGCTGAGTTGAGATTTATGCTTTATGATGATATGCTTGGATTATGCTTGGATGCTGACCTGCTTTATGTTTCTTATCATGTTGTTGTTGTTGAGACTATGTTGGGCTTTGTTGTCTTATTTGGTGAGCATGAGGGTTGTCCATGCTACATTGATTGACTATGTCTTATTTTAGATTCGAGTTGTATTAATGTATCAGGATTAATATCCGGACTACGTGTTGATGTTCTGTGACTTAGATACTCACTTATTTATACATTGAGGTATTTCAGTTAGTTGTTTTATTGCAATTTACATACAGACATTATTTTGAAAAAGGATTAAGTAAACAACTTGGTAATTGATAATGACGTCATAATTGAAAAGAAAAAATTTATTCCACATTTTAATTAAGCGTAACTTAATACGATGATATGATAACAAACCGGGTATACACGGGGTGTTACAATAAAGACTAACATAACCCGACAATATATTAAAATTAGAAAAATTTCTTGATTTCTGCCCCAAAACGACGTCATTTTGAGCTCACCGGAGATAACTTATTTCCATTGACTGGAGAAATCCTTTACCCTATATATATATATATATATATATATATATAACAAATTTGAATTTTAATATAAAATTATAAAATATATGTATAGTTGATAAAAAAATTTTAAAATTTAAATTTAAATAAAAAATAAGAAATGACGTATTTATACTTTAAAAGAAAATTTATTAAAATTTTAACTTAAAAATGTAATACAAAAAGAGAAAAAAAAATTCATAAAAGTATTTTTAAAAAAATATATTTAACATAATTATTTTAAATATACATGTATAACCAATTTAAAAAAACGTATAAAAATCATAAATTAAAAGAGAAAAAAATTGTATAAACAATGTATAATTTATATAAAATAATTTATAATTTAAATTTAAAAAATAAATAAAATGACCTCTATCATTTCTGTAAAAAAATAAATTATAAAAATTTAATCACTATAAAAATTTTAATTTAGTATATAAGAAAGAAATTAAACTTTTATTTTTTTATTGCAAGAGTATAATTAACACAATTTCCTATGTTATGAATGAATAACTAAAACCTATTATTCGGAGAAAGTACACAACTTTCTATGGATATTTTTCACTACTTTTTGTATGAAAAATTATTATGTGTATTGATAATATTTATTATTATATCAATTGGGTGAGAAAATATTTAATATTTAAACTTTAAAAATTTTAAATTGAATTTTAAATTTGATAGGTGAGAAAAGAGTTCAGCATTTAATGTTTCTGCAGTGGAAAAAAGATATATATAATAAATTTGAATTTAATATAAAATTATAGATTAAACAAAAAAGCTATTTAAAATTATAAAAATATATTTATGGTTGATAAAAATAATTTAAACTTCATAGGTGGGAAAAAAAATTTAAAATTTGTTGTCAAACAGCTATATTAATATCTCACTACTTTTTGCATTGGTGATTGTTAAGCCTATTAATAATGCCACAACTTTCTGTATCGAAAATTGTTAAGCCTATTAATAATATTTTGTTAAGCATATTAATAATATTTATTATTATATAATTAAACTAATGAATGGTCTTTTG